CACCTACGCTTCATCGACTTTCCTGTCTTCCACTGGGTGTGTATCGGTGAGGGGCGGTGATGGCTGAGGAAGTGGTCAGGCCGGACGACGGCGGGGCGTCGGGGCCGGGGGGTGTACAAGAGTACACGGCGATAGAAGGGGGAGGCCAGCGGCAGCGAGGGGCGGTGTCAGCGCGGGGGTGAGGTGTGCGGCGGCGCCAGGCGGTGCAGGTGTGGACGTCAGCGTGGAAGCAGGCGCGCGGAGCGGCGGGCGGCGGCGGCGGCGCGGCATGGCAATTATACAAAACTGTTCGGGGGGGTTTGTGTTTCTCGGCTCAAGTCAGGCGGCGGAGGCGCGCGCACGCGATAGGCCGGTGGTAACGCGTCATACAAGGGTTGGATGCAGACGTGATCGCCCGTGACGCGGGGAGCACACGACCGCGGCTGCAGCGGCTCGCGCGCAATTGTTGCGTGCGGCGGCCGCGCGCGAGACCGCCCGAGTGCGGCCGTGCTGGCCGCGCCGCGCCGCGCGCGGGGAGCGCCGCGCAATGGCGGAGCACAGACCCGCGGAGGACGGCACTCGAGTGCTGCTACATCTTTATTTACAACAGAGCTAAGACCCAGCACTGGGTCTTAGCTCTGTGAACCCGCGCGCAATGGCGGAGAACAGACCCGCGGAGGACGGCACACGAGTGCTGCTACATCTTTATTTGTGTACTGTCGTCGTGAAGGGGGCTGACGGTCCGCCCCCCGCGCGGTAGACGCGATGCAAACGCGGCTGAATCAGTTTGCGTCCCCTGCCTGCGCCCCCCGCGCGGTAGACGCGATGGACACGCAGCTGAATCAGTTGCCCGAATCAGTTTGCGTCCCCGCTCTCGCCGCTGCCGCGCTGCCGGGGCGTCGGTACAGCAATGCCTCCATTTTGGGCTGCAGACGACGCGCCCCCGTCAGCCGCATTGCTGCCCGCCTCCATCTCCCGCCCCGCCCGCCGCCAGCCTCCCTGTTGCCCCGCCGGGCCGTCGTGGGGCCCCCTAGCCTCCGCCACTGCGCGCCACCGGGACCGTTCCAGTATGCAACGCGCTGTCGAGGCGTCCCTCGCACACCCTTGCCCGCGCCTCGCAGCGGCACGTACGGGGGGCGCAGCGTCACAGGGGCTGGTCCGCGTGTGCGTGCGGGACGTGCTGTGCGCAACGTCACGAGCGAGCCTTGCTTGCACGCCCCCATCCCCTCCCTACTCGTTCGAGGGGCGCGCGCTTTCTAAACTTTACTCTGCTAACGATCGGAATGCCACTCCCCCATCTCGTGCTCACACGGCCCGTCCGCCCTCCGCGAAACGAGAGGGACCTATCATTGCCAGCCAGAATGGACGTGACCGGCCGGCGATGCCTGTCGGAAGATACCCCGAAAATACGCCGATAGCGATGCAGCCAGCCGGAATGGACGTGACCACGCCGGCGACGCCTGTCGGAAGATACCCCGAAAATACGCCGATAGCGATGCATCGCCGCGTGCACCCGCGCCAACTCGATGCCCGTTCCTGTGGCGTAACTGACCCCCTGCGATACGGTGCGATACGGACAGTTCGCTGCGGTTTTTTATACTCCATATACCTAACGCGAGGCTACTGTTTGGCAAGTAAGCAATCGGAAATTAATTTACACCATGCCGTCGGCGGCCGATACTTATGTTGTGGAAATGGTGCGGAGATGGAGCGGAGATGGTGCGGAGATGGTGCGGAGATCGAGATCACCCAAACGTTCACTTTCACGCTTGCCCTTTCACGCTTGCCCCCGCATCATGTATCCTATGCCGACGGTCTTCGTATTAATCGAGGGGATGCACAGCGAATCGAAGACGGAGGTCGATAGTTTTGCGCACTACTGTACATACTGTACAAGTGGATGCTCGTCTCGGGTTGCGTTCGTGACTGCTTCCATTGATGCAAGGCACTTCAGAGGATGCGAAAAGCCTCCAATACTTGTGCACACGTACCTTTGAAGGGTACTTCCTCCACAATGAAACGAAAAAGATATTCTCGCCATGTCTGCTGACTTCTGTCTTGCGGCAAGTGCTTAGAGTACCACTGAGATCCTCCTATTTGTTCGACATTTTTACAAACCTTGCAACTTGTTCTCCTACTTTATTGGTCTGTCCGCTTCTCTCATTTGCCGCATATGTGGGACGCACATTCCAAGACGTAGAGTAAACTAGTAGAAATACACCTTTTACAGTATTACTGTAGTTGTCATACAGTAGTCCAGCGCCCAGGGTGACGACAGCGCTGCGTCCCCACTAAGCTTCTTTTATCTTTGCCCCCATTCCCGCTCCGCAAGGGCGCAGTTCCCACACTGTTCGCTTTTTATACACTTTTGTGTACGTGGAAATATGCGACAGCAAGTAGCGAGCCGCTGTACAACTAAGGTAGGGACTACGAACTATGGGGCGGACGTTTTATGTGGAAGAGATGGCTTTTAGGTCATTGATGGGGTTCTAAGCATGCCTTCTCAGAACTTTCGTGAGATATCCGAGTAGAAAGTCGCAGCGGTTGAAAGGATGCCATTTTTCATCAGACGATGTGTCACACATCGTCTGACGAAAAATAGCATCGCGAACCCCCCCCCCCCCCCCCCCTGTACGATACATCATGTGTGCGATATGATGCTACCCTGTGGCAGTGGGCCGAAAACGACAGTATATCAAACCAGGCACTATAAGAAAATGAGATTGGCGGCTTTTTTGCAGCCACTTCCTTGCATCACTGCTCAGAAAGACCGCCCGCAGAACGCATCACTAATACGTTATCTCCACTGAAGAGTCAGGTATAATGCTTTGATGTCGGTGCTCCGGTCGCGCACTTCAACGAACACACCACGTAAAGTGAGTAAGTGGTGAGGTATTTGAATTGGCACATCAATACTGTACTGATGTGAAATAATCTCGTTAGCACTAGATTGAGTAAGGAGATTAGCGGCTACCGTGTCTATTATACTGATGTGTATTTTATAGTGATTTACTTCTCTGAATTGGGTGGTGCAGAATCAGTCCCTGTCAAGTTGTCGTTCTGCATCACCGCTCAGCACATACTGACCTTGAGTTTTGACAGGTTTATTGAGTCCTTAATATGTACTTAAATGCTTCTATCCGAATAAACTACGAGTGTGGAAGAAGACACTCTCATCTTACTGTTCAATTCCACTTTCAACAAGCACCCTGTTCAAACCCACGACCAAAGGGTTATGGGCCCACCCCACGTTCGTTGTTGAAATTACCCGCTACCTGCTCTTCATTTTCTTTTACATCTAATTTTTCTTCCCCCCTTTTCATTGTCATTGTTCGACTGTTACGTGAGGACTACAATCACGTGGGTCATCAGCTCCGTGCTCATACCGTGGTCTTTGGATCCTTTTCCAGAAGTAATGGAGGACAGAAAAAAGGTCTACAGGTATTTCGGAAAGCCTGGTGAAGACTTTCACCTCTGGCAAGCGCGAACGGAGGCAGCCCTCCAAGCGAAAGAGGTACTGTATGTTGTAGAATCTGACATTCTGGGCACTGCAGAAGATGGAAATCTGACCGAGGGGCAGAGAAAAAACACAGCCATTGCGCGTGCTGTACTGATTTAAGGAATGGGAGATCGACCGCTGAGGCTTTGCCTGAGCGCTAAGGAGAATCCGTATCGAATGTGGGTTTGCCTTCGGGAGAGATACGCAGTATCTAACACTGCGACAAAGGTACAAATGCAGTCCAAGTTGGCTCGCATGAGCTACACGGGGAAACCCATGCAGGACTACATTGATGCATTTGAAGAAATCTTCAACCGCCTCGCGGCAATGAAGAGTGAGGTAGCTGAAGACTTGCAGGTGGCAATGATGCTTGCATCATTTGGTGACAAGAACAAGTAGTCCTTTGGTCATGTCCTTGCGGCATTGCAAACGATCCAAGAAAAGCTGTATTAGGAGACAGTCACGGCCAGCCTGCTTCAGGAATACGAAGAACAGCTCCTTCGTTCAGGAAGTTCGAAAGGAAAGAAGACTACGGATGAGAGACAAGCGCTCACAGCAGGAAGAGGAGCGTGTCATCACTTCCATTGTGGAAGGAAGTACTCACAGAACAAACTGAGAAGCGACGCTGCTATGAATGCCGGAAGATCGGGCATTTAGCGCAAGACTGTCATCTGAAGGACAGTAGGAATCGTTCCGTGCGAAGGCAGGTGGCCTTTGCTGATGAGCTCGGCAGACACTCGGAGACAGGCGTGGGATCCGCGCAGCAGGCAAGGCTTCTGATTGTACGCAAAGAAGATGGAGGGCACGTTCAGAGGAGCGCACCTGACCCCCATGTCATAGAAAATGATGCAGGCTCAAAGGAAACTAGCTCTGTGGAAGTTAGAGCTCATGCATAAGTTTCCACAGTAGTTGACGCGCCCTGTCCACACTGTTCATCGCTAAAACTCTCTGCGCAAACAGCGAAGAAATTCAGCCCAAGAACGAACCCCGGAAACGACCAGCGAGAAGTATTTCTTCTTGACTCGGGTGCATCAGACCACATGGTTCTGCGTAAGGACTTTCTGCGCGGATGTGAAAAGATCGCTCCTAGAGACATCGTATTGGGAGATGGAAAAAGGGTCTTTGCTACCCATCGCCGCTCATTGGTACTGAAGACGAGACTCAGTTTTGGAAATGATTACTATGAACGTTTAGTTGGCCTAGATGACGTTCTGTATGTCCCTTCCTTGCATACAAATCTTATTTCCTGCTCAAAACTATGTGAGAATGGATATAGGGTTAACTTCGGCCGGTACATGTGCAATGGCATATTGGATGGCACGATGCAGTTTCAA